ATATTATATCTATTTTTCAGCCCCTCACCAGCCTTGCACATGTTGTTTTTTCAGAACAGAAAAAAACCAATGTATTTAGTAAATGCATCAGCATACCTGTATGGCCGACCACCGTTGTGAGCAATATTGTTTCGATTTTTCAGCAATTAATGAATAATTATAGCGACCGCCTAATGACAGCACTTCTTCAAGAGAGTACCAGTATTCTGAGAACCCATATAGGGCCATAGAGGAGAGAGAAACCTGAAAAGTTTTTGAATAAGAGCAAGAACGTGAAGGTGAACAAAGTGACATACCATGGGTGCGGCAACATTTCCTAGAAAGCAGTTTGGTTTACAGAGAGATTTTGGGTGCACGTAAGGTCTTGTGAGCAGACTTGAAAGTCGCTTTACACATCCTTCCCAATCGCCGATTCCCTAAAAAAAATGCTCCATTTGTCACAATCTGACCGTGCAATTTTCCATTCCAAAAAAGTCTACAAAAGGATAGATTTTTTTAGATTAATCAAAAGGGCGACATTTCTTAAGCATTGATGTGCAATCTTTGACCTTTCTACAAAGCGATACCTTTCGCACAAACATTGAACCGTCGCTTCGATTGATCACCTTCTGCAGATTGACCGGCATACATTCATCCCTGACATAGCTCTCTTTAGTCGCCAGGAGCTGATCGCTCAACTGTTGTTCATATTTTCGAAGACCTGAAATGGGCAAACTACGTATAAATATAAATACTGAAAACTAAAAAATCAGTTGCCAGTAATATGCCATTAGAATTACCTTCATTGACTCCGTAGCCCAAGAATGTTGTCACGAATAGCTTGTACTTGTGTCTATCGTCATCATCACGGCAGCCAAGATTGACCTGAACAAATACCGCTATTTCTTTGAATGAAAAAGTAAAGCCGTATTTCATTGATTCCATGACGAAGACTGCAATATTATCTTGAAAAGGAAGGAAACATCAATTGAACGGTCAGCAGACAGCGGGCAACTGCTAAAGAAAGGAGGGCACGTTTTACTTAGGTTCGCAGGGACGAATCTCAGCTGCATCACCCGTAGCAGTCTCCAATCTCGCTGATATTAATAGGGGCACGAAAGCGCTCATCTGCGAGCGACACAGACTATTACATGGCCAACTTTGTTATCATATTGATAAATTAACTGATAGGCTACACAACAATCTATGTACTAACACATTACAACATCAGTATGGTGGCCAAGACCGCTCAAACATGTTTGCGTAACTATTGAAGGAGAGTCCGCCGAAGGTCGGAGGTCGTAAGTAGGCAAATGTACTATGAAAGACGACGAGACCTAATAAGGTGCGAGGCGATGCGTTTTCACAGCTAAAGGGATGCTCAGCTCCTACGAACCGTACCCGGCACCGACTGCATGCCCACGATAGGCCGACCCCTCGCAATTCGGGCTAGCACCCCTCCTAACTGATAGAACTGCTGAGCTGAAAATTTCAGCACTGACGGGGCTCATCTAACGCGCAAATCACCGGGCAAGAAGGAGTGTACTTTCTCGGATTGTAGGCCGTTTCCCTTGTTTCTTATTCATTCCTGCACAACACTCTACCTTCATTCCTAATGAGTAGTCTTTTCATAGCGACCTACCTTCTACGCAATACCAGCAACTTCGACGAATCCCAGCTTCAGGTTCTAGCAAGCCATAGCAAGACCAGAACTTGTAAACGCGAACGATTCGAAGAGCTCATATAGTTCCGTTACAAAAGTTTAAAAACACAATAATAGAAAGTACATTTTCTACATTTTCACTGCGGAATTCATCTTTTGGCGGCATTTCGAATGCAATTTGCATGCTAGCACCTCCCATGTCGATCATTCCCACTGTGTCTGGTCGAGAAGTCATTGAACCGTTTTTTATCTTGAATTTACCTGTGAAAATAAAAGATAAAACACATGAATTAGATCATTGCCATTCACCTAAACTGCTTGCCAAAGTAAGGAAGTTAAATATTGTGAAAAGAGAAAACCCAATCTCTTACCTAAAATGTAGTTCACTGCGATCCAACTATAAATGCCTTCCCATTTGCCTTCGATTACTCTTATATGCTCTTTCATAATCTAAAATATTTATCCGATCAAAAGAGCCTTGTCTACAATTGAAATTCGCAACCATAACAAAATCTCGAGCTTCAATGTCTCAACTGGTTCTTTTGCGGATAATCATAATTTATTTTGATATATCAAAAACTTTAGGTGTTTTTTCTGCTTCCCATATTAGTGCGTCCCTCAGTCACCAAATAGAATCTTTCTGTGCAAGAACAACAAAAAATGGAGCCATGATATTTGCACATCCTGTCAGAAAGTTGAAAGCCTTATCTTGCCAAAAAATTTCTTAAAATGGTATATGAGCACGCGGAAGCACGGCATGGGCTTGACAAAGTTCAGAATGCTCTCTCGTAACAACAAATCCAAAATTTTTAAGACTCCATTTAAAGCAATGTAATTATTAGAAATCAATAAAATGTATAGTGAATGTGATAATAAATATTGCTCCGTTAGACCGTTCCTATGAGTTATAGTTGAGAGTAAAGTTGAGAATATAGCAATATAGAAAATAAATTTAGTTACTATTATATAGAAAGAAATATAGGACACTCATCTGTAAATTTTCAGAATAAAAGAGAATACTGAGGAAAAACGTGACTGCAGAAGGCTCCTAGGTTTTGTCGCTACTAAGGTATTACTTTGAAATATCGAGACATAATCCAGCTTCTTCCCATATGTAAGGATTCCGTATAAACTCTTAGGCAATCATTTTGGAATACCGTTCGAAACGTCAGCAACTATAGGAATTACATAACTTAAAAAAATGATTACCTGCATTGTCGTCATTTGAGGCAGCTTAGTGTGAAGATCGGTGAGAATCGCAGCTTGTTGTCTGGAATGTTGTCGCTATGTATGAAGCAACGCATAATACATGATAATCTCAAAGCTCTAGAACAAAGCCACAGGTTTGCACAAAAAAACAGAACCATGGCAAAAAATACTGGTCGATATAACTCACGAGTTTATAATAATGATCTACATCAATTACTTGAAAAAAAAAACTTGAAAAAATTCTGAAGTAACCCAAGCTGTTCATGTAATATCATCGTGAAGTTTCAACAATTCGGCCAGATAACGTAGTACATTTTTGAACGAAAACTTACTTCTCAGGAACAAGTCGCATTCCAGCCGTTGCGAGAAGAAAAACTGGTGTGTACGGCAACTTCTCGTGAGGTATGAACTGTGCTGCATAATCCAGTAACGGTTTTATATATTCTGGAAAAACTGATCCAAATTGAAGGCACTGATCAGTTGTAATGCAGACTGATCGATTTACCTGCAGCCTTATCGGGACGGTCTTGGAACGTACTCAGTCCTGGGTACACTTTCATGACAACATGATTATTCAGGTGGTCAAGTGCAGGAGCAATATCGATTAGTTCTTTGTCTGCAGAACAATAATATTTATCTTTTAAGCACAGCCCGCGAAGGCAAGAGACCCAGCCATAACGCCTTATTTTTGCTCACGACCTAGTCCTTTATTACACGATTTGACGGTATATCATACATGCATGATGTGTAGAAAGTATTAGAAAATCGTTTAGCAGATAGTTCATACCTGAGTTACTCGTCCAGGTGTACAAGAAGAGTCGAGTTCCTGTAGAACCCGCATCCATGATGACACCGTACGACTTCTCATTCTTCTCATCTATACCGAAAAAATACTAAATTTTCAGAAACACCACTAAATCTCCTTCAACTAAGTGTGAGGGGTACCATGTGGTCGCCTTCGGAGAAAAGCTGTGGCAATGGCGCGCAAAACAGCCAACCATGCCGCTTGTTAGCATTCTTTCATCGCTCGCAGGTGAAAGTAGCGCAAATCGTAAGAAACTACACAAAGCTGCCTGATATCGCGCATTAATGAAAGATTAATGCGACAACTTTTTCAGATGCGGTTACAGCAGTAAAAAGATGTAGCATACTTTCAGATGGTGGCAATAGCTGCCTGCTTTGACGCACTGTATAGAAGCCAGAAGAACAAACCTTCTGTGAACGATTGACTATACATATAGTTGCTAATCGCTCCGCCATGATCGGAATGATTGAAGATTAAATAGAGAGGAATGCAGACAATGAGAATCGCAACAACGCACAAGGCGCGCGACGTCATACGAACATCCTAAACAGCTTCAGGGGTCGATGCTCCGTTGATTAGGCCATACCAGTACTGAAAACAGCCGATGCTATAAACATTCTAGTATACTATCCACGTTACCTAGCAACAAATAGCACAACACATTTTAAATTAGCGGAGTATTCAGCATGAACCGATTTAGGCGCAGAAGTGAACACATGGTCATGTGTGAGAAAAATGTCGGAGGCCATTAACAGCAGGAAACCTTCTGGGTGAATCAGAACGACTTTTTTCCCACGCTGGCGTGGAGAAATGTTACAAAAACTAAAAAGTTTTCGAAAAAGCGCCGTTGATCAGCATAGAGAAAAACAAATTCTATGAATTCTGTATTTCATTACCACCCACGATAAGCCGACTCTTCAATACTGAAGTTGTTCAGATAAGATTAGTAGCTTTGGCACTATTCCACTATTTTTGCCCCAAAATCTCAATTTTTTCCGGTCGAAACTTTGCCTATAGGTATAATTTCATGCCCTGATTATGGAAATATGATATTCTGAGCGCCACTTTGTTACGACAGCTGTTTTCATCAAATTCGGTGCAGAGTTTTATGGAGGGGTTATTTTGTGTCCTGATTATGAATATAACATTAGCTTGGAATTAGTGTGTCTATCGCATATTTTCGGCTCTCCTGTGGTCTGCCATTCATAGTGCCTAACGCTAGCTTATTGGGGAAGGGAATCTCCGGGGTGGGTAAATTACGCATCTTGGGACAAAACATGAAGGGTCTGAGGTCATAAGGTGAGTGGCTTACTCATCTCTGAGCCTCCCTTCCTCAAGATGAGCCGATCAGTGAGCGGTTGCAGAATAGCAGAAAATAGGCGCCAAATAGCAACTAGCCAAAAATGAATATCATGTTCGTAATCAGGGCATCGAATTACCTCTATGGACAGAGCTTCGACGAAGGATAAAGGCGCTATCGCAACATACGGGGGCATTGTCGCAGCAATGCACTTGCAGCCGCTTGGAACATAACCTTTCTGTTCAAAACGGGACTAATCCTTACACGGGAGAACAGACTAGAGGGAGCGCGAGCAATTTCATTTTTTTCGTACTTCCTGCTCCTTCCCAAGCTTGGTCCTGAAGAATGCCCCCATATATTGCGATAGCGCCAAAATTTGAGATTTTGGGGAGTACTAGTGGAATAGTACCACAATTTCAACGTTTACAGTGTTAGATGTAGAACATGGATGCGAGTAGATGGACCTCTGCAGTGGCCCCATAGACCTAGTGGGCCTGATTACGAATATAACACTTACTTTTAGCGCTGAAGCCTATTTTTGTTCGTCTCTGTACTCCGCCTGGCTCGCCCTCTTACTGACCGCGATCAGGGCAAAGCTTTTGAGGAGAGGAGGGCTCTAAGGTGAGTAAGCCTCTCCCGCTAAGACCTCATAAACTTCAATTTTTGTCACACGGATGTGGTTGACCCAACCGGCACCCCCACCTCCTAAGCTAAGCTTAGACTATGAGTGAGTGGGCCCAGGAAAGCAGCAAATGTATCTCGACGGCCTGCTGAAACTTCTCCTATGGGGTTATCGGGGGTCCTGATCACAAATATGGGATCTATCTTAGCTGGCGCCAAACGGCGCCACGACTGAGCCCCACCAAATTCGCTGTAAACTATATAGGGGTTATTTGAGGCCCTGATTACGGATATGACATTCGTTTTTGTCGCTTGCGCTATTTTAACGCTGATTTTCTGCTTTTCTGAGCTCTCTCACTCAGCTCCAGCTCCCAGGACTAGGCCTAGGGAAAGGGAGTGATCGCGGTGTACTGGGTAAACCAAACTTCGTGTGGCAAAGGATCAAGTGCGTGAGATCACAGAGTGAGTGCTTACTCCAAAGGCCTGACTGATCCAATTAGTGCGAGGGCGCAGACGAGCAGGAAATAGGCGCCAAATAGCGCCAACGACAAAAACGAATGTCATATTCGTAATCAGGGCCCCAAATAACCCCTATACACAAGTTTACAGCGAATTTGGTGAGAATCAGTCGTGGCGCCAGCGCCAAAAATGGATTCATATTCGTGATCAGGACCCTCGATAACCCCCATATTAGAATTTTCTTGACCCATTTCACCCTACTGGGGTTGTAATAGTGCAATAGTGCCGGATACTAAATAACCCCCCGCACACCAGTCCTAGTGGAGCAAAATTTCGAAGAAGAATAAAATTTTAAGATTTTGGGGTCCTAATAGTGGAACAGTGCTAAAATTGGTACTGAAATCAAAGGAAACGAACGAACAATGAACACAGACCTCAAGGAGAATTGCAAAAAACTCTCAGAAATCCACTCGGAGCGCTAATATGATTGTGTATTTACGAAATGGAAAACCTAGACGACGCGAAAACATCACACCACTCATAAAATAATGAGGAACCTTGAGATTGAATTACCCGAAAACAATACCCCGGATGTTCATTCGGTCAAGCCTAGCTTGCGTGGATTACATCGTACCCGCCTTGCCTGCGCATCTTAGCCGAAAATAGCGCTGGAGCGCCTTTGTTGACAGGAGACTATCTAATGAGTATAAGTATAAGTATAAGTTTATTACGTCTGCGGAAGGCACACGTGAAAAAAAACAATGAACAGGAAGTAAATTACCAACACAATTAATCTAACCTATTCATAGAAATGCGGAGTGAACCAGGCACGATGGCGATTGACGGTTTGCCTTTTTCATCTGAGTAGGACAGACGCTTTTTTTTCGAGAGTGGGAATTGTGATTCGTATTTGACACGCCACTGGGCGAGTTTTTAGATTTAGAATATGAAGCGAACGTGTAATGAAGTCAGCTGATTACAGTAGTAGAAGAATGAACAACACAAAAACACGACAAAAATAATGAACATTTCCTTCTTCAAGGGTTGCCATAGTGAGAGTGCTCTTCGGGCAGAATCCCAGTAAACTACTCTTCCCCTCTCTTGACCCGGCTTGGCTTCCTCTGAATAGTACCGTCGCTGCCTTTATACTTCACCTTGATGCCTTGACTAGCTCGGTGCCGAGAATTGGCCAGCGTGAAGACAAACTTCGTTGCATTTCTGCCCTCCAGCTTCCCAAACAAACTTCCGTTTCCGTGTTCTCTGTCTTACGATTAGCAACGGCTGCTTTGACGATTTTTGTAGACATCGAGGTCCTTGAGCTTTGCGCAAGACTCTTGACGCTTTTTTAGACACGCTCTTCATGATTCGCTGAAATTCGTGTTACAGAACCACGGTGGCTGGCTTACCCCGAGTTCAGAATCTTTTCTGCCTCGCGTTCCACGCTCCTATGGTCCACCTCCGTTCACCTCTCCAAGCCTCTTCTGTCAGTAGTGAGGGATCGATCTCATGGTTTCTTGGAGGCCCAGATAGACCACGTCCGTTATCATGTTCAGATTAACCGGTTTGCTGCTGCTCTGCTCTGGCGTTCTCAGGCCGAGATCGCTGACCAAAGGCCCACGTAAACGTCAATTCCAGCCGTATCCCTGCAGCACTCAAGAAGACCTCTACGTTTACATGGTGCCGATTTTTAGGGATAGGTCGTCATTTTTTGATGATTTAGGCATGCATCCACACTCTTGTGATTATCGTATCACTGTTTCTCATATTTTGAATCGTAGTTGAATAGTTATCTTTTCCTCGTTACCGTAAATATCGGCAAGTGACCACATCTATTCCATTCCATGAGACAGCGACGGTCTACCTTCTCGCTGGACTGATTCTGGACAAACGCCTACGTCTCCTTAATAAGCTTCAGCAGCCAAGGAGTCTCCCGTTAGATAAGTACTCTTACCCCTATGATCCCCTTCATTTGCCATCATCCCAGCGTGGAAGTAGAGCAATTTCATAGCAAATAATGGGAGTAATGGCAAACAAAGCTGACAGGAGGTGACAGAATGTGTCTCGCCCGTGAAACTTCTGGAACTTATTTATAAACTTCAGAAAAGATCTCAAGGCTACCATAACGGGTGAGGAAGCACTAGTCTCCCACTTGGCTGTTTTCCTGTTATTTGTAGTGTTTGGGAGCGTGTGAGGTAATGAAAATAGGTCTAGAGAGGAAAATGTGATGGTAAAGGGTAAAGAATGCGGAACGAGCACTGAGAAGCAGGGTCGTGTACGTGACGTTTTTTCAAGTAGGGTTTTCACGAGAGCAGTCGGCTT